ACTCTGGAGCAGCTCTGACCAGCATAGTCTTGCACAGGAGGCCAGGCAGAGGGGAAGAGCCTGTGCAGGGGAGAGGTGGGAGGTGGCTCCAACATGAGAGCAAGAGGGAGGCGGTGCAAGTCCCTAAACCAGTTAAGAGGCAGGAGATGGTCATTTTCAAGGGCCATGTCCGCAGCCGGGTATCTCCCAGGAGGCTCTGGTTGGCAGCTCGACAATTTGCCACAGAACCTGGGTCTGGGGCCATGGGATGGTGTGGCAGCAGGTTGGGGCACCCAGGCCAGGCAGCTGGGGTGAGACATCTTTAAGGATGCAAATGATGGGGAAGGAGCTGGCTGTTGTCATGGAAATGGACTCTGGGTGGATGAGACATGGTCCCATGTGTAACCTGCGGGGAGAATGCCACTCACCACCAGGCGTCACCGTGGGTGGCAAGTGGGCACCGCTGGAACCTGCTGTTCCAGCTGTGCTCGCGGGCTCTGTCCACCTCTAGGGAACATCATGATCTGGGAACGTGTGCGCCAGTTCACATCAGTACCTGAGAGGCCTGGGAAGATGCCCCCAAGCCAGAAGAGCCTTTGGCACGGCTCCTGCACCGAGTTATCTGTGCCTGCCAGGAAGACGGGGTCACACCAGGTCACGGGTCTGTGGCTGGGGCGAGGGCTAGGACTAGCTGGACAGGGAGAAAGGCCCCAGCAGCAGGGAGGCCGGATGGGAGCACTGGAATGGCCTCTACTCTGATTCCAGGTGTTTTTACGTTGGCAGGTCGCTGCCCCCGGTTGGCGGCCCTAAGACCCTTCCCAGCTCTGCTTTTCTAATTCTGGGATTTGGAACCAACTAGTTTTGATGAACACAGCCGCACATCTCAGCCCACTGACCCACCCTGCCTCAGCACAGGCGCCCCCACCCCCGCCCAGCCCCAAGACAGATGTGGGCAGCCCCGTGGGCTGCGCTGGCCGCTCAGGCAGCTCGTCCCGCGCTCAGGGCTGTCTGAGCACAAGGGCTGTTCTGAAGCTCACGGCCGCCCCACGTGCTCCACAGAGCGAGAAGCTGCCTGTTGCAACGAGCCCTCGGTTTCCAACGGGCGCTATTTTAACAGGGCCTTAAGCAGGACGAGTGTGAAGGAAATAGCAACTTGCTGTGTAGGACTTTGACTCCAGCACTCAGTGTACACTTCACTGGTTCATTTTCCTGCCTCCTTTTCTTTCCCCTCATCTCTATTCCCTCCCTCCTGCCCGTGGCAGCCCTCTCGGGCACGTCTGTCTGGTCTCCTTCCAGCTACCTCCTCCCCGTCCTACCTGGGTGGCGGTAGATGTGGTTTGGGGAGTTAGTGGGAAGGGAGACCATCCAAAACTCCTGCCAGGCCAAGGACAGAAGGGGCGTGATTCAGGTGAGCTACCAGCTCCGGCCGGCTCTTGGAGACACTGACATACCAGCAAGCCGGCAACCAAGAAGGGACTTCAAGTTCCATGGGACAGTGACTTCTTGCCTGTCACCACCCCACGCCCCTTCCAGAGGCCCCACTGGGAGATGGTTCCTTCCCTGACACTGCTCACCCCAGTTTCAACCAGCACTAAGTGCTGACTGTGTGCAGGCACCCCAAGTGTGCACTCAGGCCCACCCACCCTCACCCCCAAGCCTGAGCTCCAGCCACAGGGCTCCTCTTGTCCAAGGCACCCCTTTGGGTATCGCTTCCTCTGTGGAGCCCCTTCTCCCAGCATGCACCTGGGCAGGCTGCTCCACTGGGATTCAGCTCGAGGTCCCCCACTGTCTCAGGTGGGTAAGTGCTGTGTATGGCACCCAGGGACGAGCCTGCCTGCAGTGCCCAGCTAGGTGTGCTGGCTACTCTGGATCCTCCCCACTTGCGCGGTCCCCTTTGTGGGGGGCAGGGCAGCAGCCACAGGCAGGTATCAGCGGGGTCCAATGCCAGCTCGATGGGTCCTGGGCTTGACGCTGGGCGGCGCCGTGCTGTCCTGTGCCAGGACGGAGCACACCTGGAGTTGGCTTCCGGGGGCAATGGCTTCTTTACCAAAATAAATGTTTCCCTTGAAAAGAATGAATTTAGTCACTTTCTTCTCATTTTTAAAAGCCACAGGGGTTCTGTTTGTGTTGACTTGGTAGAGACTCCATCCCCATCTCATAGAAGTGTAGCCATTCCACGGTTACCAAACGGGTGAGATGCCTCTGAAACACACGCTGGGCCTGGATGTGCTCACCTGGGCCTCGCTCTGGTGCCCCCCGGCCCCCACACACAGCGGGTCACAGGTCGCTCTCCCAGGAGCCGGCAGTGGGTGATTCCGCCTTGTCCCTGCACCAGTGCTCAGCAGGAAGGCCATGTCAACAGCCTGTGAAGCCAGGGACAACCCGGGCTCAGGCCCCTGCCCCTAGCTGCACTGACCCCCACATCCAAACTGGACTCAGCGGCTCCAGAGTCACCCGTCTGCTTTTCCTTGACACTGACCCACATTCCCCTGCTGAGAGATAATGGGGATGTGGGCAGCCTAGGTGTGCGGCAGAACGGACACCATGCGAATTCCGAGGCTCCGTCGAGAAAGGATGTGCTCCAGGTATGGATCTCTGGGCTACTAACCAGCGTGCCAGCCAGGCAGTGAAGAGCCCAGGCCATAGGGAGAAGCCCCGTGGGGCGTCCCACCAGACAGCCCTCCCAGGCTCGGTCGCATTCAAACACCAGGCATGAGAGTGACCTTCAGACGATTCCCGCCCCCCGCCTGGAAGCTTCCAGCTGGGGCTTCAGACAAGCTATCCGAGCCACGGCCTGTCCTGATTCCAGACCTCCTGCCTGACGGCATCTCTTCATAAAGTTGACGTTTATGTTGAGAGTACGTTAGGGCTGAGCTATTTTTCCTCACATATTTAGGGGCTGTTCCCTTCCACAGAGCCATCTCAAAATACTCAGTCCAAGGCAGTTGCTCTTCCAAGGAGGGGCCCTGGCTTCAGTTCTGGAACTCTGCTGGGGGAGCAGCCTTCCACAGGTCCCCCAGGGTCCTCTGCCACAGCGGGGGAGCAGGGAGAGAAATCACCTCAGACACTGAATTTACACATTCAGCAGCAGGAGTTTGGACCACATCCAGGAGCATTCAGTGTTTTAGCTTTTAGATTCCTCACAACCAGACGGGCGCTGGGGTGAGAATGATGACTATTCTCCCCTCCTGCAGAGGTTTCACCTCCCTGACCCTTCGGCTTCACCCCTACACGTGTCCTGGCATGAGAAACTCTTAGCAGAGCGCATCAGCAGTGCCAGGAGGCGAGCAGAGCTGGAGCGGGGCTTTCTGCCTGAGCCATCTGGGGCGGAAGAACATGGAGCCCACGGGCTCGCTGCAAAGGGAGGCGGCGAGGAACCGCTGCCCCGCGGCACCGCCCACCCGGTGGTCCCTGCTGAGAGCATGCCACCGCTTCAGGCATCTACCCCTTGACTGTGGAGGTTACAAGCCACCCCGGCCCGTTTCCCCACAACCTTTCCCGTCTTCACATGCCTCTGGGAGCACCCAGCCCCTCGCCCGCTCCAGAAGGCCCTGCCTATTCCTGCTGCCAGGGCCACACGCTCTCCCCCACCCCTCCACTTGCAGACTCTGCATGTCCCTTTGCCCGCTGGTCGTTTCACGTGGGCAGTTCTTGTCCTTCCAGTTAAACAGAACTACAAACCTATCACACCTGGAAAGTATTTAGAGCTGTGGTTCTCATCCTTAACTGCACGGGAATCAAGCAGCTCTGGAGGCAGAATCAGGGCTTTGAAGGTCACCAGGGAGCGGCACTGCCTCGGCCTTCTGGAGTCTGCCACGAGCACCAGGCCAGGTGAGCCCTCTGTCTTCCTGGGAGTGGATGTGGGCAGGAGTCACACTGTAAGCGAAAACCTAGGCCCAAGGAGGCATGTGCCCGCTGCCAACGGGGTGGGACTTGAAGTAGGTGTCTGCATCCCGCCCTACGGCTGTCCCGTGGCCTTGTGCCTCTACTGCCAGTACCAGAGGGCAGAGATTGCTTTCAATCTGCCTACCTGAAGCAGCTAATGTGGTGCCAGACAGGGCTCTGGTGGCTGACGCTAAAGGGCTGAGGTGGGAGGGGGACTCCCCTGCGCCAGCGCTCCAGGAGTCTGTCCCAGATGTCTGGGAGGGGAGCCCTTTAACTGCTCTGAGGAAATGCCACATCAGGGGTTGGCTATGATCACAACCCCTTCTAACTAGGTGCCCACATCAGTCACTGTCTTAGACTGTAATGCATCCAGGAGACCACACCTCCTGGTTGACTATGGACTCTCAACTCCTCCAGCCCCAAAGAACCGAACCCAATCAGCAGCTGTTCTCTTCCAGGTCCACCAGGCTCAAGGCATGCAGCAGGTTTGAGACCATTAGTCAGACAGGGTTCTGGCGCCCCCTGGTGGCAAACCCCAAGTGCAGCTTCCCCTCTTCTCCCCCATGCCTTCTACTTTCCTGTATGGTGCAACACATGCCCCTGGCCCTGCAGCAAGACCAGGCTCAGGTGGCAGACAGGTGCAGTGGCTGAGTGTGAGCTGGAAGCTAGGCAGATGGGCCAGCTCCTCTGAGACCCCTGTGAGGCCTTAACAATCATGAAAGCTCAGTCTCCTCTTTCGCAGAGGGGTAACGGAACCTCACTCAAAAAGACCACAGGGGCAGTACCTGCAAAATAACTGGGCCAGACTTCCAGTAGGGCAGCAGGAAGCTGGCAGTCAGACAGCTGTTAAAGGCCTGGGTTTTCCCCTGGACACCCTGCGCCTCCTCCGCCCCCAGTAACAGATCACACTTCGCTCTCTTCTTGCGCTGCTGGGGCTCAAAGCCAAACCAGGGACTTCCCAGAGTATTTCTGCCTGGCTTCATGACTTGCACGGTTTCTGAGCACTGACAAGCTACCTGGGTTTGATCTGGCTCTCACTTTTTTTATTTCACTGGTCTAATGATTTCCTCTAAGTTTCCTCAAATCTCTTCTGGAATAAGACAGAATGTAAACAATGAAGACTCTATTTTGGACCAAGTTTTGCTCTTCACAATTACATGCTGAACTAGTGTAGGAAATATTTTCAAAAACAATACCTTTGATTACCTAAGGGTCAGTGGTTCTAAAATACACACATGAGAATTACTTTAGAGACTTACAAAACTATTCTTATTCAGAGTTGGGAGAGGCATCAGCAATGTGAATGTATAAAAGCTTGCCAGTGGCTTCTGAGGCAGCCAGCCCAGCCTCTGGTCACAGAGCAAAAGTTTGAGAATCTCTGGCCTACAAACCTTTAAAAAACAGGGTCATTAGTTGTAACAATGTCACATTCCTTTGCAAAATATAATTTTCTAAATAAAATAAATGTCAACTTTATTCAACTGATGTGCTTCAAAAACAATGGGTGGAGATTCAAATTTACAAATCATTCACTTAAATTCATTAGGGCAGCAGACTTGAGAAAATACCTAGCAGAGAATTCAGATATAAAATCAAGACTTTCCTGCTTACTTAGCCTGAACCCCACTTTCCTAAAAGCGGTCACTGCTGGAGTAAAGGCCCAAGGAAAGAAGAGATTCCCGAGCTCCTTGACAAAGCACCTGTCTTAAGCCAGGGGCACAAGCTGCATACCAAAGTCTTGTGCAGTCACAGAAGCTGCCTTCACTGAGGAGCCTGCACCAGCTCACCCCCAGCATTCACCTCAGATCCACTAGAGGGCACTCCTCTCCCGGCTCGGACCCTCCCCCACACTCCAGGGGCTGAGACACCCAGTAAGGCCAAGGCTGCTTCTCTGGGAGGTGGAGAAGGCACTGGATAAGGACACAGCAACCCCCGTGCCTCTTCATCTCCAGACACACCGTGGCTATAGCTCCCTTGCCCAGGCGGCGAAGACTCACAAATTGCCTCCATAATTTTTATTACGCACAGGGAGAATCTTCTCTGGAACCGCAGCATCTCAGAAGGCCTCACCCAGGTCGATAATCACTATGAAGGCAGGTGTGAAAACACACTGGTGTATTCTAGAGCGCGATGCTGCCTCGGCCGGCCGGGGAGTTCTGCCTCCTGGAGTCCAGCCCCAATGGCTTAGCTGCTCCCTGCAGGCGGCGCCGTCTAGAGGACCCTCAGGTGCCAGCGGATGGGGCAGCCAGTTCCGAGTTTGCGCGTCCATCTTATGGATGACTAAGTGCCTGAGGCTGGGTCCGTGGGATGGCAGGGGTACTGGGTGTGATGGAAAGTCAGACTGCTTTAGGTCTGACGCTGTCTCAACCTTCCTGCCCACCTGCCTTTCTCTCACCCCTTTATGAAGGGATCATAGAGTGGAGGTGAGGGGGCCACGGGAGTAAGCAATGGGGACCCCACATGGATCAGTACTCAGAAAACTCAAGTAAAAATCTGACAATTAAGAAAACACTCGGCAAACTGGGAGCTATGGCACACATGTGCTCAATGACCAATATTGCTGCAGAAACAGGTGGGAGGTGGGATGTGAAAGGAGAGTTCAAGTGACAAGAAACAGGAAGTAGGTGGGATGCGACAACAGAGGTGGGGTGAATACTGATCAGGTTTCAGTTCTTTTGGGGAATTCTGAGTACTATTTTGTTTCACTCTGAGATTACTGAGCCTAGAGCCAACAGGACCTGTCGCAGGTAAACCCATATGCTGACCAGGTCTTTCTGGGCCAGTGGGTGATTAAGCCATCACGTTCAACAGGCAGGCTTCACACAAACCCCGTAACACACCAGGGCTTCGGAGCTGGTCAGAGAGGGGAAGGTCCTGGCCCTGAGAGAGTCTCAAGACGGCCACACCGGGGTGGCTGGGTGGCACTGCTACCCTGCCTCAGCAAGATCGGGACTTGCTGGCAGTTGCTGACATACTTCAAGGAAGGGAAAAATCCAAAAAACCAGAGATGCTGAAACTGGAGGTGAGGCCGTAACAGACAACCCACTGACCTCAGCTCACAGCTACTTTGGAAGGGGCAGAGGCTGGCTGAAGCCTGGGCGTAGGGGCCACTCTTCAGTCTTGGAATGTTACACAGCAGCCATTCTACTAACTACCGGGGGGCAAATCAATGACTGGGGTCTCCAGGCTGATGACTCCCAGGGAGTAACACTGGTCTCTCTGAGGAGAGGAGAAACACCCGACACTGTCAAACGGTAAATCTCACTTGGTGTCGCAATGGTACCAATGCCTCTGCTTCCTTCCGGGTAGCTGCTTCCGAGGAACTGTTAGCTGTCAGTCATCTGCACATCGTTTTGGGAGTGGGGAGGGGAAGCAGCTAGCAGCAAGCGCATGGACTAAGCCTGTCATGAGGATGCAGGAAAAGAAGACCTCCCCCCGCCCCCATCTCTGATTCTGCTCCGCTCTCCATTAGGAGCCAGAAAGGCCGGTGGCTACAAAGTGTGGCAGCCGTCTGCAAGGCTCCCCAGGACGCACCAGCTATGTGCTGTTCTTCCCCTCCCCCACCCTCTGTCTCCCCTTACATTTCTTCCTCCCTCAGGGAGAGTGAGCATGAGAGGCCAGGTACTTTGTTCACTTCCTAAGCACCATGCATCTTGGCGGCACTAGCTTCCCTCCAAGATGTCCCAGAAAACAGAGTTTGAAACTCCCATAGGTTAGAGATCACAATTGCTTCTGAGTGGTCTTCACAGTTAGGGCAGGCGTACATTTCAAAAGGCAGCCCCTGGGCTCCCTCGCTCTCCCACACACACTCATACACACTCACACGCAGTGGGCACATTCAGCCGCTGGGCCCGGCCGCTTCATGTCAGGTACTGCACCACGAGGAACATGACCACGCAGGTGAGCAGCATCCCGCCGATCATAAAGTACTTGTCCTGGAAAGCCCGCTTCTCGATGAGCCGCATCACCGTGTTGGACAAGCCCAGCATGTTGGCGATGTCAAGGATCTTCTTCTGAGTCCCCTGGGCAGGTGGAAAGAGAACAACAAAGATCAACCTGCTTTGCCCAGGGCAGGCGAATGTCATCAAGAGATGGGGCTTTACCAACAGTCTCTTGGTTATGACTGAAGCACACAAAAGCATCTTTTAAAGTGAAAAAGATCTACTCTCACATGGTCAAATGATTCATGATCAAGGACTGAGCAAAGCAAGGGGGAAAGAAAACCCTTTACACAAACATGCTGGAGCAACCAGCTACACGCTAAATATCAGATGCATACTGCATGTCTGTCTCATTTCGAGCAGGTATGTATTAAAAAAAACTCTGACTCATAATATCATATAAAATCTATATAAGATGGACCACAGAGCTGTGTATGAAAGCTAAAACTATGATAGTTCCTAGGGAAAAACACACCCAGCCCCTGGATACCATCCGGTGTACATCACCCAGAGTGGGGAGAGGTGTCCTGAGTTCTGCTTGCGCAGCCAGACCAACGAGGACTCAGCCTCCAAGTAAGCACAGCACGAGCCAGGCAGACACGGAGAGGAAGAAGGCACACAGGAAAGGGCTTTGAATACCTCTATGTGAGGTTCAGTAACAGACAAGACTAATTTATAGAGCACTAATTGGAACGGTGTTTGCCTGGGGTGGTAGGGGGAGACGGAGTGAGAAATCCTCAAAGGATCTTTGGGGGGATGAGCACAGCCTCTGCCTCAGCGGCAGCACGACTTACAAAGGTGTACGTGCTTTTCAGAATTCAATGACCCATACAAGTAAGGTCTGTACATCTCACTGCATGGAAATTAGACCACAATGACAATTTAAATACGAATGTTTTACTTAAAAAAGGCAAAATCCTTGCTATCAGCCTATTGTTCACTTAGTAAGAGCAGAAACCCGGGGGATTTTGCTGTGTGGGGGTCCAGAGTCCATGTTTACAAGAGGGGGTGAAGTGGCAAGAAGGGGCGACAGACACAGTCAGCAGACACAACACAATGGCCCCAAATCCTCTACATGAATGTCACTAGCCGCCACCGAGAACACAAGGGCACTTTATTCCTAAGCCAACAGTCCAAACGACCCAGCCCACCACTCTGCTTTTCAATCTTATTACAAAACATTTTCTTCTGAAGTAACAGATCTACACGCTGGGCAGACCCCAGCTACTTACACACACGGCGCTAAATGCCTCTGACCCAAACCCCTGTATTGCTTTTTTAAATGCACACTCAGTAGGAATGAGACTGCGAGGCATCAGGGACAGCAATTCAAAACGGAATTTCTGCCCAGACAATGATTAACAAGCTCATCAGGGGAGATCTCTCAAGCCAAACTTCATTGCTGCCGGAGACCACGTCTCCCCGCCATGACAGTGATGATAAAATTTAGCTTCTTGGTAAAGGTCCTGCTTAGTTCTGCAAGTGCAGATCACTTCGTCATTGTAAGAGGTTTAGGCTTCTTAAATCACCTAGAAGTTACCACACATTTCAAAAAATGTATCCTTTTCAACCACAAATTTCCCCAAAGCAGAGCCAGTTCCTTCATGCTCTATATTCCACTCAAATGGCCAAAGCACAAACACTCCCTGACGAGATCGGGTGGGAGTGGGCGGAGGGCAACTGAGGAGACAGGTGGTGGCGGCAGCATGAGGCAAACAATCAGAGACCTCAAATTCCAGCCTCCCGCCCTCCAGGTGCCCACACCTCCCTTCTGCTGGCGGTGCAGGGGCAGCAGGTGCCAGAGGCCGGCCTGTGGGAGGAAGTGGACACAGCTTTCTGTAAGCTCCAACTCCCCCACCGGCCACACTGTGTGATGTGGTGAGCCTTGTTTGCTGTTTTTCTGAGATTCGGGAAGGAGGCCGAGGCCAGCAGTTTCCCAAAGACAGGGCGGCCAGTAGCTGGAATTACTGCAGGTGGCTGCTGTGAACAGTGGCCACCATGAGGCTGGCGGAACCGCTCTCGAAGACCCTGGGAAGCCCCGGGAAGCACCACAGTCGTCAGCAGGAGGTCAAGAGTCACTGGGGCCGCCTGACCTTCTCCCTGGTAAAGATGGCAGAAATGTGCCGACGTCCTGTGGGGCTGACAGGCTCAATGTGGTCCAAGAAAAACTTAGATAAAAACCCTGCTTCCAAGTGACTGTTTCTCACAGCTTAGTGGCTGGGAGTGCTTCGTTCACAGGAGACCACACCCTGATAATAGGCAGAGCCCACACCCAATTATCCATCAGGCTTGATACAGGAAAAGGGCTGAGGCTAAAACCCCATGACTGACATCAGAGTGTGTAATGTTTCTGTAAGCCGCTCCCCGGGGGTTTGAGTCTCAGCCAGTGGGGCAGGGCTTCTAGGAATACCTGGCCTAGAGAGGGGCGAGTCATTGGGCTCACCACCATGCGCTCTAGAAGCTTCTGCTGCTAGTCAGCCTGGAAGGCCCCACCTACAGGGACGCAGTCACTGCCACGCAAGGTCTGGGCTGTGGGAGTTTACAGCAGGGGCCTCCAGAGAACCAGCCGAGCGCGAGGCCCTGCGCACAGCCTCGGTGCCCTCCCGAGGGTAGCAGGCGCGACAGATCTCTCGGCCTCCTGCTTCTTCCTGCAGCGGCTACTCTCATGACAAGGTCAGTGGATGGGAAAGACCTGGACACCAAGCGACAACACGTGAGGGTTCACGGCAAGCACGAGAAATTCCTACCAGTCAAGGGATTTGGACAGTTGTGGAGTCACCGTGATTCAGCTCCAATATGAAGGACCCCAAACTCGAGGGCTGCATCTCACCACCCCAGTGCCACAATTTGGGGATTCGAAATCAGAATGTTGTAAACACAAATATCAAGCTGTTGGATGAGGCCAAATGAGAGGCCTTTTCCCTGTCCCCCACCTTCAAGGTCAGTCTCTGGGACCTCAGTCCCTCCAAAATACTGTGCCCGCCTCCAATGAGGTCATCCATGCCGTGGTGAATTTTCTGGAGGGAGGAGTTAAACTGCAGCGATTCATCCATTGGTATGGTGGTGTCAGAATCCTGTGAAGGAAATGCAGGCACTTGATTAACTCTGCTTGCTGGTCAGCTCCTGGAGTCCCACCGCACCTGACTGCCCTGGGCAATGCCTGAAAGCCAGGATGACGACAGAACAAGAATGAGAGGAAACTAACAGAGAAGTAAGCAAATTGTGGCACTGGGGCAAAGATCTAGGCCTCCTTTCATGCAGAGGAAGAAGAATTTTCCTCAGACTTGTCACTCAACAAGTAAGTTCTGCGATCCAAGTGCTATTAAGCCTTGCCTCTGGATCATCACCCCCACTGAGGAGGAACGCTACAGGCTTGATCCTGAAAGCTTCCTGACTACTCACTGATGCAGCTTCTGCCAAGCATCCTTTACTTGGCTTCCTCTTAACACAGTGTTCACAGTTTGCTTGTGTTCTTCACCCATTTTCTCTACAGCCTATCCCTCCAAGCAGACTGAGGCTGAGTGAGGACAGAAGAGGCTGTGAGTCCTACCGAAAGCCTAACAGGATTCAAGGGAGGAGGTTCCAGGCAGGCAGGAAAAAAGTCTGCTAAGACATGAAAGGAGAAAAGTTGAAAATGACCAAGAGCTTTCTGCCCCGCATGCTCCTCCACAGGCTTGCTCAGGCCTCACTCTACGCGTCGGAGGGATTCACTCTAGTACCCGCTCGGAGAAGAAACTGAGGTCCGGAGAGGAAGAGTAACTTGTCAACCTCACGAAGAGCTCCAGGATGTCCTGTGGGGCATGAACCCCAGTAGTGAGTGTGGTGCCGCCCTCCCAACCATCGGGTGTGGAGAAACACCAAGCCCAGTCCCGGGCTGGACTTGCCCTCTGGGAGTGAGCTGCACAGAAGCCAGTCGCCAGCGGCTGCAGCTCTGTTCTCCCCTCACCTTCTGAGGACCAGACCGGTCGCCCCGGTGACACTTCTATCACTTTCAACCATCACAGAGAGGATAAGCTGCGTTTTCCTAGCTGTGCAAGTTTAGAATCACTTTTCATAGATGATTTCAAGCCCCCACCCCCCCCAGTGCCCCACAGGAAAGAGTCAGGTCTTTTTATTTTTATACTTTACTGTAACACTTAATACAACTGTGTTCTGCACAGAGTCAATGCTCAGGGGGTCAGTGAACGGGTCGGTGTTTGAATGCATGGAGACTTCCCTTCATTTACTAGACAAGAATTTACAGGATGCAGTTTAGCCTGAACGGTGTGGCTGGTGGGCCATTTTCTTGCAAAAATACTGTAGTTCCAGATCATACTACGACCAGGAAGAAATTCATTTGACAATCAACTTCTATTAAGGGATGCTATATGCACAGTATCACATCAGGCTGGAAAGAAAATAATTTAGATCATCCCTGACCTAAAAAAGGCTTGGATCCCCGATGCTGTAACTCTTTAAAACCTAGACGACATTTGACATCTTTCAGGGTGTCATGTAGCCTGTTACATTTCTAACAGGTGGCTCCACTTGCCACGATACCACCAACACATCTTTACCACAGTTCTGAACTGCGAATCACTGTCACCTGACTGCTTACTTTAGAAAAATGAAAACGGAAATTTACTAAAAGTGTAGCTATAGGAAAGGGAATCAAACATCTGCAAAGCAGGAACTGATGCGAATTACAATGGCAGGTTTCAAAAGCCCAGGCCTCTTTCAGATAACAAACTCCTCTATAAACAAACAAACAAAAACCCAACCCACAACCCACCTTACTAGATGGAGTATGTCACGCAGGACATGAGAGAAGCCAGCGCCTTCTGGTGCCAAGTGCAGGAAGTGACCCTGAGGCCCGAGGGCAGGGGTGATGTGTGCTAAGAAATCAAACAAGCAAACCAACAGGCCACCTTCAGACAGGCTCAAGTCAAGCAATCCATCTAAAATGAAGTATCTGTTAACAAATTCCTCCAAATTACTGCTCAGACGAGGACGAGGGGCAGAAGTATTTTAATGCGCCTGACACGGGAGCCGCACACAGACACAGCACAACAGCAGCGCCCGGAGGCAGCCTCCGAGCACTGCCCTCACTGCGAACGCTCTAAGTTCTAATCATCTGTCTCTATCTGACCAGAAAAAAGTCCTCACCATGTGAACTTCCACCTCGGCCCTGGACCGGTCAAACCAGGTCATTTTCACCTTTCATTCTCTCATTTAACTGCTTCCTCTTCAGGTTTTTGTGTTAGACAAAGAAACTCCCTGTCTAGATCCAGTCTCTGCAGCAATGCACCAAGTCCACCAGCATTTCTGGTTGTTCTCCTCAGCAGTGTGCTTTCAACATCCCCCGGAAGGACGAAGCTCAGAGACCTGAGTCCCCAGCTTCAGCAAGCTGGGAGCAGACCCCCACCCAGGTGCCTGGCTTACGTTGGTGGTGAAGGTGCGAGACAGAAGCTCCTCTCGCTGTTTCTCCTGCTGCTCCCTTGTGAATCGCCGATGCTGGAAGTTTCTGAGAGCAGTCTGCAGGTGCTGGACATCATATTTTAACTGGTCAACACGACTGGAATTGATGAAGAGAGATTAAGTTCAAGGAACCCAGCATGGGACAATTTGAGGTGGCCTGGCTTTGCCTTCAGGAAAGAGGCTTCCTAACTTTCCCCCATACCACTCTACAATATCCCGTGTTCCCGGTCCCAGACCCCCTCAATAACCTGATTTTGATCAAGAATATTAACAATAAAGAAGTAGTTTGTGACTAAAGTAGAGTGGCAGCACACGGGACTCCAGCAGCTTTACATAAATATCTGCTGGTCTCTGCTTCTGGATGCATGACAAGGAACAGGTGACAGGAAGCAGGTCCACTGACCTCCTGCTGACCTTATATGGATTATGCTGCTCTCCTAGAAGCCCAAGGGCATCTCTGGTGTAAAGCATCCACAGAGTTTCATACAGCTTTTGGGAGCAGGTGCTGGAGTGGAGGTGGTAAGGGTGGTTTCATTTTAATGTTATGGGGGAGTATCAAAGCATGAGGTCGGTGTTTCATTATAAATGCACTGATTGAAGTGATTAAGAGCAAGACTTCGTTTAGGCCCAAGAATGTAGTGGGAACCCAAAGGGCAGAGTAAAATGTCCTTGCAGCGTCAGGCTTCCAGCGGCCGTGGGTCTGGTCAGGAAACAGACACTGGAGACCGAATTTCAACATGAGGCCAAAGAGGTAAAGGAGACACAGAGTTCTGAGCCACTAATCTCACAAACTGTTCATTTTGAGGGAGTATCACTCGAACAGAATTGTGCTTTACCTCTGCACAGTCTCAGTTTTTCAATGTATAAGTGGATCTCTGGAATATTCGATAGCCTCCCCTGGGAGAAAGCTGGGGTCAGCACTCACAGTTTGGCATTCTGTCTTTTGTTAGGAGGCTCCTTGCTGGACAGAATCTCCAGACGTTCCAGATGGCTGAATATCTGGTCTATGCTTGCTTGGATTTCATTTTCTACTACTGCACAAAAGAAAAAAAAAAATTACTGGAAAAGAAATCGTGAACTTAAATCAGAATGCTAAATCAAACATATCTCTGTTCCAGATCCATTAACTAAAAAATAGGTATTTCAAAAGAAGACAAATACATAATGAATAATGAAAAACACTCAAGTGATTCTGTAAATCTTGTTTCAAATACACATCTGTTAATTCTATAACAATATATATATAACAATATATATATATTTTTAAGGCTGAAAATCTGTAGAAAGGTATTTGGAAAATAAAACTAACACTTAAGGGTGTCCAAGTGATTATTTTGGCAAAATGCAGAATGAGATCGCTTTTCCTTTGAGATTATTCTGAGCTAGGAATTACAAATATCTAGTAAAAATATTGTCAATTAAATTTCCTGTAGGAATGAGGTTTAAGAAAAAGGTACAAAGGGGTAGATTAGTGTGAGAAACACAGTAGAGCTGCTCTAAGGCCTTCTAGAGGGTTGGGGGGGGGAACGACCTGATGCTGGCAACCCAAAAATAGACCATGTATCAACAGGAAAAGACCCAGGAGAGAATCCGCAGAGGTGAAGATATGATAAATACAGTCATTTTCCTTATCCCTTTTGAAAACCAGTCAAAATGACCACTTTCCATTTCTAATCAGGTAGCAATGGGACTGCTGGGAAGGAAACAAATCTGATGAACAGAAAGGAGACTGCACCGGAGCCAGCTTGCACACTACGTCATGCCCCACAAAGAAAGAGTAAAGACAGCAGAGCCTCTTCTCCGGGCAGCCTACAGCTAGCACACACTGCTTAGATGAGAACAAGACAGGACAGAGAACCAAGAGAGGAGATGCTTTTGAAGCTACAGGAAGGAGACATGAGAAAACAGGAGAAATAGTATTGGCCAAGCAGCGAGGTGAGGCGGACTCCCCTAAAGTATGGGGGGGGGAACCAGCAGTGTCTGTACGGCCCAGTAAGATACAGGACCTTTCCTTATAGTAGCAAAGAAACTAGAAAACCTAAAGTAACATTTTTTCTCAAAAGAACCACGATGTGGGAACTGAACTAATTAATATTACTATTCATTTTTAAATAATCCTCCTGAAAAGCCCTCAGCTTTTCTTCTGAGTCCTCAGCTCAGAAGAAATGACCAATTCCAGTTAAACATCTCTGAATTTTTATGGCGTACATTCCTCTAAGGACTCCATAATTAGATTAAGACAGATGGAGGCGAGAAGTTCCATTCTCACAGGGCCGTGTCAGGTTGAGTGGAGGGGTAATGGGGGGTTAGACTGGTGGGATTCCAAAGGCACAATCAGGGGAATCAGTGATTTTGCCATAGGGTTTTTCTGGCCATTCTAACAAGAGAACTCATTCCACCCTGAGTCATTAAGCCCCCGAGGCCGAAATGCAGTCAGGAAACCCAGCCCATTAGCACCGTGTCATCAGAGAGGACTCTGGTCTCCACAGTTAATTACTCACAGTGCAGAGACTGCTTGTCTGCTGTCTCCAGGCGTCCCATGTGAGACTGGATCTCGTGGACCTGCCTATCCAAGAAAGAGGGAGGAAATGAATGAGACAGGAGTAAACAGCACTTCAGTTAGGAAAGACACATTTTCTGATATCAACACTTAATTGATTTAAATTGATAGCATCACCAAACTGTAGAATTCGTGACACTTCAGGTCAAGTGTTTCTAACAGTTAGCAGTTGTATTAGTAATTCTAGGCAGCATTTATTTGAGTGCTTACCACCTGTAAGATCTGCAACAAAGTCAAACCCTATGGGGATATTTTTATCATCCTCATTTTATAAATAAGACAAGTGAAGCCCAGAAGGTTGTGTAATTTGCTCAAGTTCACACAAGTGATAAGCTACCATCTGGACCCAGCCAATCCCACTTTCTGTTCTTTGACCCAATGTGCTGAACACTGTTCTGTACTAGGGAAGAGTCAAAGGGTGAGAGAGATATAATCCTTGTCCTTGAGAAACACAGACGGACTTGCAAAGTTCCAAGAAGACTTAAGGAAACATTAACACACACAGAAGTGTAAACAAACAGACTGCTGAGGGGCAAAGGTGTGTGACTGGGGCCGAGCTGAGAAAGGGAGTTTAGTGGGTGAAGGGGGTTCTGAACATCATGTGGTGAAGAAAAATAGGAAGAAAATGATATACAAAAAGGCACAACGGTGTACCACGTGGATTATCAGCAGGCTGGGTGCTGGAAAATTAGGGTCACAGCGGGGAGGGGGTGTGACAACCAGCTGGAGGAAACCACCAGAGGGAGGCCCTGAAAGATGGGAATACCAGAGACTACCATCTCCTTGGAAATGCTACACGGTACCCCAATCGCTGGCACGGTTTTGGTCAGCAGGCCCCGAAGCACTGTCTGGAGGTTCCCCAGAGCCCTGGCCAGTTTACCCTCAGAGCTCTTCCTAGCATTCCCCCATGATCAATGTCCCCAAGTGGCTTCTGGTGCTTCCCTCTGCTGTAGAGCCGGATGGAGGGAGCCTGCTGAGCTCTGACATAATCCCCAACCCTTTGGGAGAGGTCTGCAAACACCCTCCAGTGTGAGCCTCCTCACTGTGACTCCAAATTTACTGATGTGACTTGTGAGCCCAAATCTAGACTCTTGATTTCCCCCCTAGGCTTCCTTGCAGGCCCAAACGTGACCCATGGCACCTCACTAATGACCCCCTGGCCCTCGGAGGACCCCACAGGCCTGCGAGGCAACCAGTGTCACTACTGGGTTATGCGAGGCCAGGTGTCTGCCTGATAAGGGAGGTCGTCACACTTCGGAATACGTGTGGAGACATGAGGGCAGCTTGAGATGACGCCCGGGTCAGCGCAACTGTGAATCAGCTCTGGAGGACGGAGGGGACACTGACAGGACCGTCAGGACACCACCAAAGGTACGATGTGCAGGGAGGTAAGCTCGGCCGCTGAGCACGTCTAAAAGCGGGTGGCAGTATCAACAAGGACAGGAACATAACTTTTAGCAGGGGGCCAAGAACAGCCGGGACAACTCTGAAGAAGATGACGACTTGTCCCACCAGACTTACTGCCAAGTCATAATGTCAAAGTAATATGGTAGCAGTGAGAGGACAAACTGAAACTGACCCTGACCCTAACCTGGACCCAACCCAAGGGCAGACGGAGGCCAGGGACAGTCTCGCGTATCTGGGGAATTAAACGGGTCTGAAAGAATGACTGACTACAATAAATGTTGCCACTCAATTTGCTATCCCTATGGAAAAAGATGCCTTATATATACACATATATAAATAGGCAAAAGCAAACTTAGAGGACGGTTTCCTCTGAGGTGGTTAAATTAAAACCTAAATGTAAAGGGCGAGACATTAAAACTTCCCAAAGGATATACAGGACTGCATATGATGACCTCAGGCTAAAGAAGGATTTCTTAGATAAAAAAAAAAAAAAAATTATACCCTCCCAATCCTACAAACAAAGACAAGACTGCTAAAACAAGAGACATTAAACAAAAAACTACACCAAAGGGACCATAAAAATGTCCGACAAGTGCTGGAAGTTATCTTTGTCAGATAACAATAGAGGAGCATCTAGAAAATATAAAGAACTGCTACGAGTCAATAGAAAAAGTCAAACAAATCAATGTTTATAAAATGGACAAAGGGCAACTGACAAGAAAGAAAACCCAAATGGTCAACAAATACATGTAGAAACTCAACTTCACTAGTAACAAGGAAATACCAATGTAAAACAATGAGGGGCCACATTTCTCCCATGACACTGACAAATATTCAGAAATTTTAGAATGAGGGACTCATGGCAGGCTCAACAGTGGCACCCAAAAGGAGCCAAGGAAGACTTCCCCTACCACCACAGGACCATCTTTGGCACTGTTTTGTTCAATATTTTTTTTAATCAAATTATGGTTATGAAATATACATGATTTTGTGCTCAACTGAATGGTTAGGATATTGCAACACATACCAAATATTAGCATTTCTCACTTAGGCTAAAACACTAAGAAGAAATTTCTTAGGGACATAAAGTATTTCAACTTTAGATTTTTTTAATAGTTCTTTTTTTTAAAGATTTATTTATTTATGTATACAGAACTGGGGTACAAGTCAGAGGTGCAGGGGGTGAGAGGCTTCACCAGAGACAGAGTGGGGAGCAGAACAGGAAGATCGATGTACACTGCTGAGGGGAGCAGTGGGCAGATCAGGAGAGGTCTGCTGCTCCCTGTGGGTCACCTCTGGGACGGGGATTGAACTCGCATTGAAGTGGCTGCGGCTCACTTGCAGTGTTGCGTCCTAACCCGCTGTACCACCAGGGAGGGCCAAGACTTCATATTTTTAAAAGAAGGTCAAATGTACAGGATGGCATTCAATTTGGGAAGCCTTTGTTAAAGCCACCTCTATCACACGTTTCCCCCAACAGAAGATGAACAGATGACTGGGGAAGAGTTTAGAGGTCAGGTCATGGAGAGGAATGATCAAAAGAGCTAGTCACCTGGGCTTCCTTGGTGGCACAGGGGTTCAAGTCTCGTTGCTATCAAGCTATCACCAGTCACTGCAGAACAAGTTCAAGCCCCGGCCAGGGAGCTGACCCACATGGTGCAGAAGACCTCTTCTTTCTCCCTACTAATTCCTTCGGCAGTGCACTTTAGAAGATCGACCTGTTCTGTTCCCTACTGTCTCCGGTGAATCCTCTCAGCTCCCTCTTCTGGCCTACACCCCAGTGTCTTATACACATAAATAAAAAATCTTTTTTTTTTTTTTTAAAAAGCTAGTCACAGTAAGTCTGTGGGAAAAGAAAACCCCCAAATGGGGCAGCTATTCCGAGTTGCCACACAGGAAGAGGGAGACTCAGCATCAAAAGGCACAAATTTCAAGATAAAGATTATAGCTTCACACACACATCTACAAAGAACAAATATGAACTGTTTTTCTTGCAGAAAATAAAAAAGAGCTCCTGTATGTTTCAACAAGACCATGCTGGTTTTTGTTTGTTTGTTTGTTTTAAATAATACAATAGTTTATTTTTACATCATTCTGTGCCTTTTTCCATCTCAGTTGTAATCCCCGTGGGCTTCCCATCACCAGATTACCCGTGTGCCATCACCATAGTCCCGTGCACTTCCCTCCCCCCACTGTTTTTGATCCCATTCCCCACTCACATCCGTAAAATGTCTCTGGTATATAGTTTTTCATTATTATTATTATTTTCTCGCCTGCTATGAGTGAAACCATCCGGTATTTTTCCTTTTCTTTCTGGCTTATTTCACTAAGCATGATCTTTTCCAGCTCCATCCATGTTGCTGTAAAAGCAATTTTTCTTTTGGTTGCTGAGTAATATTCCATTGTGTATATGGATAAGGTGTGTACCACATCTTTTTAATCCAGTCATTCACTTTTGGGCATTTGGGTTGTTTCCATGTCTTTCTAACTGTAAATAAAGCACCATGCTGGGTTTTAGAAAGTGTCTTCCTTCCCAAAGTAAAAGGTGGAATGGGAGATCTTACCAGTCCCCTTGAATTTTTGAACCCCATGATTTAAAATTTTTTGGCTGGATTTGAATCTTTTCTAAGATAGAGTAACCTTTAAGAAGTTGCAGGCTACTATTTCTAACCTTCCCCATACAAACTCTATTTGCTTTGAATAAACTAGACAGGAAACAGTCCCAAAATGATTCCAATCGCCACATTTCATACCTGGGAGGAAATAAATGCACAACAACAAAGCAAGTACGACTGGCACAGTGGGAATTAGTATATGCCACGTGGAAAAACTTGAAACTGAACTGAGAATTTAGACAACACACATGGAGTCATGGAAAAGATGCTATATAACAAGACTAGAACATGACCTACCTCCAGGCACAGGAAACAGTGTTCTGGAGTTCTAGAGTGAAATTCCAGTTCAATTATGTACCAGCTAAAACTCTGAACAAGTCTCTTTAATTCTCTGGTGATTCATTTTCAACTGCAACACACAGAGCTAATAATCACAAATATTTAAAGGGCCAAATATACTAATGCAATATGGAAATGTGGGGTACCTTTTGTAGGATTATGTGTGGTGCTTCACTTAACTTTATTTAGAAGTAGTAGGGGGCCCTCCCTGGTGGCGCAGTGAGTTAAAACGCAGCACTGCAACTAGCCACAACTGCTTCCGTTTGATCCCCAGCCCCAGAGCTGACCCACATGGTCCAACAGACCTCTCCTGTCTTGCCTGCTGCTCCCCTCATTCATCTGCCTGTGCTACCCACCCCCCAATCCTGTCTCTAGTGAATACCCTCTGGCCTGTACCCCAGTTCTGTATGCATGAATAAATCTTTTTTTTTAAAACCTGACATCAAAAAAAATAAATAAAAGTAGTAGGAACACATCTGGTCATTTTTACCTACCCACTTGTCTTTACCAAAATGAGCATCTTATCAGGAGGTAAGATCAAAAAGAGGAAAAATTAATCTTAAGTTTTTTTTTAAACCCAGTTGCTCATCAAAATCACCGGGAGCCCTTGTTACAACAGAGCTTCATGTGACCCAGATTTACTGAATCAGAATCTCTGGGGAGAGTAAGCTTCAGGACACCAGAAGATCCTGGACTACATAAAAAACAAATGTGGTTATCTTTACAACCACTGGGTCCCCCAAAATAGAAGTGTGCTATTAGTTCTTCTATAAAGTTCCTTCTACCATAATACTATTTAAGTATAAAATGTTTATTCTGTTGTTCATCTTTTTTTCAGCTCATTTATTCTTCAGGCAGCAGTTTTCAGGATACAGAACTTGAAAGATACAGAAATTAAATGCTGATCTAATTCCAATGGACTTTAGGGGACATGACATAACTACAATGTGGTTCAAAGCTCCAGAAAAATTAATATGTTTAGTTGCTGTTGGGTTAACTCTGCAACATTCATTAATTTCTACACTGCAAAAGGTAGTAACTACAGTAAATAAATTTAAGCTGATATTCACCAGACCCTTTTTAAGTGTCCTTTTAAAGACTCTTGATTATCAGTATTATGAAGCTGGAAGGATCCTTAGAGTTTAACCAGACTTAAACTATAATTTTACTGATGAGAAAAATAGGACAAAGAGATCTAGAACCAGTTCCTAGTTCTGGTTAAGGACTTAAGTGGAAAGGCAGATCAGACTATACTGAAGCGTAAGGAAGGTAAATTCCTTGAGGGCTCAGCAGCAGTCACTGGGAATTGGGCCTGAACATAGGCACTCAATACATACTCACTGAATGATAGAAGGCCTAACAGTGGCAGGCCAAATCTGGCCCACTGCCTACTTTTGTAAATAAAGTTTTATTGGAATACATACTTACATATTATCTGTGGTTGTCATGCTTTAATAGCAGAGTTGAGCATTTCCCACAGAGATTCTAAGGCTTACCCTTGACCAAAAAAAAAAAATTCGCAAGCATGGAAGCTCTTTCTGCCCACTTACATCTTCACAAACATCCTCTCCTCTTCTCTCCCTTCACAAAAAAGCTATTTTTTTAAAATAAATAAACAGGGGCCCTCCCTGGTGGCAAAGCACAGCACTGTGAAGCTATTGCAGCCACTACAGGACAAGTTTGATCCTGACCAGGAAGGTGACTGACATGGCACAGCAGATCTCTCTTGTTCCACCCGCTGATCCTCTCAGCAGTTTATTTCATATCTCTGCCTGTTCTGCTCCCCAATCTGCCTCCACACCTCTGGCCTCTAAGCCAATTCTGTATGTACAAATAAATAAATCTTTTAAAATAATAATAAATAAATAAACTGGCTACTTACAGGGTCTATAAAGCCCAAAGGTAGTTTGGTCAAGGCCAACCTAAGCTGTTCATCTATACTACATAAATATTCAGGAAGCCTTTTGGCATTTCCCTTCTCCCTAAGTCTACATAAAATTGAGCTACCTATATTACTTTTATAGGTACCAGGTCAGCTACCTAGTCCAACAGTAACAGGTTCAGTCTGGGACTCTCAACAAAATTACTCCTGAGAATAACCTGGATCATGGCCTGGATCATAATCTTTAGCAACAGGCTTTAATCAAATTAACCGGATGAGTCTGCACACTATAAACTAACTTCAAGGTACTACTTAGCACACAGTACTATTATAAAAGCTATCATTTCTTAGTATGAGGAGCATACTTTTCTGTTTCATCCTTTTTCCATCTGACTCACAGGTTTAGTTTTTAAAGTTCTTTCCTATAATTTTATGTGAGAACAGAGATTCCCCAGTGTAAAAAAAAAAAAATTGTCTCATTTTAATACCATTACAAAGTTGATTCTGTTTCCACCCACCCAAATCAAACACTTCATCACTAAAGGGAAAGACACCCACAAACTTAAGATAATGAAAGACATAAGGATCACCATCCTCTTATTCCTAGTACTCCAAAGAATCTCTTTTGTGGTGACTTCATTAGAGATGTTGCTTCCTATTTTGTTTCTAGGCACTGGCAGTATGATTTGTGTCTCTATCACAATTTGTGTCTCTATCACAAAGTATGGCATAAAACTTGCAAACAATTAAAATAGGATAGGTAGAGACACACACACACAAAAAAAAATAGAGGGACTCAGATACTTGTACACTGATGTTCATTGTAGCATAGTTCACAATAACCACAAGATGGAAACACCCATGTGTCCATCTACAGATGAATGACTAACAAAATGTGAGGGGTGTGTGAGAGAAAAAGGATCACGGTCTGATACCTGCTGCAACATAGGTGAACCCTGATAACATTAAGTTAAATGAACTAAGTCAGACACACATGGACAAGTACTGTATTGTTCCACGTACATATCTAAAACAGGCAAATTTAGAGACAGAAAGTAAAACAGCAGTTAAGAGAGCCTGTGGAAGGCAGGAATGGGAAACTACTGCTTAATGGATATTGAGTTTCTGTTAGGAATGATGACAAGTTCTGGAGATGGGCAGATGACACAACGTTGTGAATGTACTTAAGATCAATGAATTGTATGCTTAGAGATGGTTTAAATTTCAACTGGCAAGTTAAATGGCAGTAACAATTAAAATTAGATGGTTAGCTTTTAAGTGTTAAGTTTTGTTATGTGTATTTTACCATAATAAAATATAAACTAAGCTTTCTTCAAAACAAAACAAAAACCCAGATAGCTATGGCTCTTATTACCACCCTTAACTGTGCATCTCAGCAAGTTCCACAAATGCAGGGCCGTATCCGTCAAGAGTACTAATGACAAACTTAAGTTATGAGAAACTAAACCCAAATTTGATTTCGATAAAGGTAACCTGTAACCTGATTATGAATAACAAACATTCATAACGCATGCTACTAGCTCAGCAATTTCTTTGGATCCGAAAAATATGATTTTTAGTGTAAACCAACTCAGAATGAAACTTTTTTTTTTTTTTTTTTTAGAATAAAAGTTTTTTAAAAGCCACAGTGTAAGAGGACTAAGTGAGAATCCATCAAGAGCTGGGCCTGACATCATTTCGAAGCTGTGAGCTACCATGAAACTTCTAAGGCTCTTCCCAGTGATGAATCCTTCATCCTGCTGCTACGGCTCACGTACCCTCCACCCCACCCTGCCACACAATACAGCTCTTGTCCTACATGCTTCGACTTCGCAGCTGAGCGGTAAACTTTGTGCAGGGGCCCTGTCTCCCCACGAGCGCTACCGACTCAGAGTACCTAGTAGGCAAATGTCGGACAAAGTACAGTAACTTGTAGGTGTAAAGACTTTCCCTTAACCTAGCCCACCCTGCAGGCAGTCACGGCGTCGAAGATCCCTGCAGCCGTCCACTCAACGTCCCCGGGCGCCAGGCCGGGCTGTCGGTCCGCCGGCTGACCTGGTCATCCCGCCAGCGCTTAAGCACTTCCGAACTGGCCCCGGCAGCGCTCTGGCGAAAGGTCTCGCCTCCGCACTGGCGTACGACCAAGGCCTCGACCTGGGGGGCCGGCCTCGCCCGGCCTGGCTCGCCCCACCCGCGCCCCAACGCGGCCCTCACTTGTGCGTTTGTTGGTACAGGGGCTCCATGTCGCCGGCCCCGCCGGGTCCGGCTCCGGCTTCCTCCGAACACGTCCTCACAGCCCCCTTCCGACTTCCGGCTTCCGGCTTCCGGTCGCAGGACCCCCCCCGCCCCCGCCGCCTACCCTGCCAGCTAGGGCTGGCCCACGCGCGCCTTTCTCATGGTGCTCACAAGCGAAGAGGAGAAGAACGAAAAAGAGGCCGCAATAAGCAGCCGAGTGTAGTCAGAAGTTTTGCTTGAGATGGAGGACGAGGCGGTTTAGGTTTCGGCCCGAGGCTGCCGTTAGGATTGAGTCAGGCATTGGCAAGGGCAGGCTCAGAGGGCTGACGTGAGGTCCTCAGAGCCAGGTCGGGTCGAGAGGGCTGACACCTGCCTTTCCCTGCTAGGGGCGGGCGAGGAGGGTTCTGTTGGGTTTCGCCTTAAAACGTGTAACTCCGGAGCTGGATGCTTCGCGCTTCACAGGAATCTCTAGCTCAGGCTGCCCTAGTCTCAAATTTGTCGGCTTCCTCCCGCCAGCATTCCCCCCCCCCCCCACTTCATTTGTCCAGCCGGCAAAGTCCAGCGCTTCTTGTGTTTTGTGCTGGGCAACCGGGTCGTTCCTACCCTCAAAGAGATCGCGGTCTTGGAAAGGAAACAAGATACGTGTACTAATAAATATCTATCTGCAGGGCAGAAAGTCCATGGAGATTAAGCCAAACTGAGGTTGACTCGGTGGACTCAGGAAAGAATGCCGGAGGTGGCATTTGGGTTAGGACTTGATTTGGACGCTTTGGCCTCTCCCCACAGACCTAGCTGGTTTCCATCCTCCCGGCTTATCTGCGGTTCCTCCCAAGGGAGGAGATGTTCCTCTTCCTTTGACAAGTTGATGCTTCTATTTTTCTATATCTTGGATTCCACCCAGTTTTGTGCCCCGAGAGACTCCACCTCTGTACTTTCTTTCCCTAACACTTTTCTGTTTATTCTAGTATCTATTTATTATGAGCACCCATTACCAAGCACGGATAATGGGCGGCGGGGGGAGGAGGGGAATCAAATCTTTCATCTCCCATGGTCTCTAGGAACTACTAATCACGCCCTTAAACTACATTATCAGGTAGAACAGCATTATAGCTGGAGAAGAAATAACATGAACAGGGCCTTCAAAAACTAACAACGTTCTAAAGTCTTGTGTGCATTTATTGTATTGGTCTGCTAGAGACGATAAGGAGGGCAGTTGATGACGAGGAATTCTTCAGCAAAGGCAAATGGTGGGAAGACTGATCTCTTATGGCTAGGTTTAGTCAGTATCACCTATTCAGGTCCATGGTCGCTCTTTATGCTCTTTATTGTCAATGTGCTGTTTTTGACTACAGTGAGAAAAAGGTAGTCATGCTGCTATTATTCAAATGCCATGGCTCTTCAGAACCCCTCTGCACTGATCTTGGCACTGAAGAGGCTCTGTTTGCCTCTTCCCTATTAACAATATTTATTTCACCCAGATATGTCAGTACTCCTGATGTTGTACCTTCCTTCACAATACCGGTGAATCCCGACTTTCAGTGACTCAAAGCTGCTTACTGTGTTTCACTGATGATCATATTAAAGACAAATTTTGCCTATACCATGCAGGAAAATATGAATGAAAATTCATTGTTCAGGATTCTGAATTGTGAATGTAAAAAGAATGGAATAGATTCCATCCATGAGTTTGCTTGAATTTTTTAGGACTTAATCACTATATTCCTAGAAAATGATTTCTTTCCGTGTTGGCTGTCCTCCCTGCCTTTCATACACTGAAAAGGGTAACCAGTTGGGAAGGGGTGGATGGTATAGGGGCCCATGGGTGGAGTAAGAAGACATGCTCCCATCATGCAATGTATATCTGGCCTTCAATGGGCCCAGATTAAGACTGACCCTGTGAATGTGAGATTGATTAGAAGAAAGAGAAAAAAACACTGATGATAAAGCCAGTTGGCCTCAGAGCATAATGGTCTCAAATGGAGAAGATGATATAGCCACTTCGGGAGGACAATTTGACATGTGGTCCAAAGCCTGTTGAGGGGGTGAGGTGACCACCTTTACCAGGCAGAGGGGCAGAGGTCAGGCATCTCACCCCACTATTCAATTGTGCTAGAGGTCGGTAGTAGCTCCATGATCAGAGGTACCTGAATAACGTCATATTTCAGGAAAATCAGTATAACTTCATGCTCTCTCCTTTTATTTGAACTTCAAGTTCTGTAGTTCCAGGACATAACAATCCAACCCATAGTCAACCCATTTCTTCCCTCTGTAATGTGATAAACTTGGAACCTCTAAAGAGTCTTTTGACCTATTCAATTTGATAGAACTTAACTCCTATCACTGATATCTCAGTAATCTATTATGTTTCTCTGGCCATTTCAGTCAAATTAAGTAGAATAATTCTGTTATACCTTCCACCAAACGGAGGGTTCCTTCTACTCTCCTGCACCGGTCTCTACAGCCTTCCATGTTTCTTCTGATATGGTTTCCTCTTGAGCCCCTATTGTCTGTCCCTCCTGGGACAGCGCGCATGTAACAGCTTGAGCAACTGGTGCCAGCTGTGACTATCTCCCTCCCCTTACTTAACGTTAGAAGCTGTCCAGAGGCCTTCATCATTCCTCAACCACTCCCTCCCCCTTGCAAACCTCTTCAGTGTTGCCCCACAGAGATTTCTAATGCTGCGCCCTGAGGCCACATTATGTTGGATTTTTTTGCTAGCACCCTGGTGCTACAGACATCATTAAGAAATTCTTGTCTCGGCAGACAGTGTCCTCCGCACTGGTCACGCCTTTGGCCATTTCCTCCATCCTCACCAGAGTAGCTGAGATTCTCCTTGCAAGGGCTTTTGTGTCCTCTGCTCTGTGTAAGCACCATTCCCTGTGCTGCTAACACCCTTCCCTCTGCCTCAGGTCTGGTTAACTCCTCCCCTGTGCCTGTTCTGCTCCCCACTCTGTCTCTGGTGAATCTTCTCACGTCCCTCTGGCCTGTACCCCAGCTCTGTTAACTGGTTAACTCCCAGGCTGGGAGCCAACTCCCCTGTGCTCCTCTGGCACCTTAGCACTTCCTTGTCATTCATTGTGGGCGCCCCAATTCTCTGCCCACTGGCTGCAATGTGCCATTCTTCTCTGCCTCTCCCCAGCATCCAGCTCAGTGACTGGTACTAGCAGGTGCTTGCTGAGTATCTGTTGCCATGAAATGGACTCTGTTTGTAATCAACACATTCTCCTACTAAACAGTCTACTTGCCTGCCATAGTCAATACCCTGAATTATTTGCAAGTTGAATTTTAGGCAATTACAAGCTGCTGGCATCAGCAGCCCTTCTTGCTGAAAGAATTGTTGTTTGAAATCAGTACCTTGTGCCAAACATGATCCCTCTTCCAGGAGCCCTTTCGCTGTCCTTTCATTTTTTTTTTTT